CTGGCTTGTCTCCCTGCCTGTTCCCTTTGTTCTCTTACTCTGCTCATTCTCTTCTAGAAAGTTAACTAGCGCTATGGACAGATAAGAACTAGAAAAGCAATATTATAATGAACATAAGTGGGCTCTTCACTTTATCAAATAAGAATACATATGATTTGTTCCCCCTATCTAGAACCTCTATGCTCTGTTCCCTGTGGTAGTTCCACTGAAGTCGTTATTTCTTTTTGGTGAGCAGTTAAGGGCAGAGAATAATTAAACCAGCTAGTAAATTAGGACTTTTGATAATATCCTCCATTATTTTGGATAATAGTGACTAGCCATATGCTAAGTCAGTTTAGCATAGAAGAGTTAAAACATAGTAGCTGACAACTGAGAAAGACATACAATTCAGCAAACTAATTTTTAAAAATATATATATTTTATTGATTTTTTACAGAGAGGAAGAAAGAGGAACAGAGAGTTAGAAACATCGATGGGAGAGAATCATCGATCAGCTGCCTCTTGCACACACCCGACCAGGGATGTGCCCGCAATCAAGGTACATGTCCTTGACCGGAATCGAACCTGAGACCTTTCAGTCCACAGGCCGATGCTCTATCCACTGAGCCAAACCGGTCTCAGCTCAGCAAACTAGTTTTGATTATAACTTGACTGATTTGAGTAAAATACTAAACTTTTCTGTTCTATTGTTACTTGGAATGATGTTCTATTTTGTCAGTCATTGTGCAAAATTGCCATTAATAATGAATATAGTGCTGCTGCCCTAGCTGATTTGTCTCAGTGGATAGAGTCAGCCTGCGGACTGAAGGGTCCCTGGTTCGATTCCAGTCAAGGACATGTTCCTTGGTTGCAGTTACATTCCCAGTGGGGAGTGTGCGGAAGGCAGCTGATCAATATTTCTCTTTCATCAATGTTTCTAAGTCTCTATCCCTCTCCCTTCCTCTCTGTAAAAAATCAACAAAATATATTAAAAAAAAATGAATATAGTGCTATTTCATTTTTTTGTAGTGCTATTTTAAATGTATTTAATGTAGTGTTAATGTTCTATTTATGGTAGAGTAATGGTTATAGATTGTAAATACCTTTTGAGACCTTTAAAATGAAACCTGGGAAAGAGAGAAATGTCCAATGTATATAAAATCCTCCAAAATTTACCATGTGACTTTAGGGGTTTTATAGGCCCCCTAAAGACTGTTTGAGGTTGATGACCTACAGAAAGAAGGTCAAGAAACTGATTTAAGATGAAATACTTTTATCTATGGATTTCTGTTATCTTTTCAACTGTGATAGTTCCTGTCTTCTAATTCTTTAACAATCCAGTATATCTGGTTTAATATATTCTTTATTCTATCAGTTTCATTTGGTTTACATCACTCATTTGTAACTTTAATTCAAATTGCTTTCATTCCTCTGCAGAAAAATCTCATACTGAATTATTTTATTTCTTCGTTCACTGTATTTGAACAGTTTTGAATTCTGAAAGCTATCAATTCCTCTTAACAGTTTACTTAATAATACTTCTAGGAATTCCTTAAGTGAGTTGGAGTAAGGTCATATGGTTCCTAGAATGTGTACCACACTGTTCCTAGTTAAGGGTTGGGTTAACCTTAGAAAATTGTAGTCACTTCATGACGATAGGAATTACTTCTGTGATATTTATGTTTTAACCAGTGAAGTTATAAACGGGTTCACATTTTAAATCGGAAAGTTTTTATTTTTTAAATCTCTATTGCTGTAACTTAATTTCCATCATTGTTAGAGTGAAATAGTTATTTCATAATATTTTATTAAATAATATTTTTGTACTTAGTACATATCATTGTTCTATACAGTGCACAAAACTTTATGTCCTTGTTGTTCTGTGGAGTGTTCTGCCTTGAACTGCTGTGATGGAACAACAAATAAGAATTAGGGGAGCAGCGGCTGCCAGGCTGGGAGCGGCCAGGCCCGGGGGAGCAGGCGGGTCGGGTGCGGCCAGGCCCGGAGCAGCGGCTGCCAGGCTGGGAGCGGCCAGGCCCGGGGGAGCAGGCGGGTCGGGTGCGGCCAGGCCCGGAGCAGCGGCTGCCAGGCTGGGAGCGGCCAGGCCCGGGGGAGCAGCCGGGTCGGGTGCGGCCAGGCCCGGAGCAGCGGCTGCCAGGCTGGGAGCGGCCAGGCCCGGGGGAGCAGGCGGGGCTGGTGCGGCCAGGCCTGGAGCAGCGGCTGCCAGGCTGGGAGCGGCCAGGCCCGGAGCAGCAGCAGCCAAGTCCAGAGCAACTAGGTCGGGAGCGGCAGTGACCAGACCCGGAGCAGCTGGTTGTGGAATGAACCAGAGCAACAGAGGCCAGGCCCTGAGCAGCCAGGCCCGGAACAGCTTGCTCCTTGCCTGCCCCTGCCCCACGGCTGCTTCTCAGACATGGCTGGAAACTTTCGTGGGAACTTGAGGGTCTGCTGAATCAAGTGATGAAGGCTTAGATCTGGATGTGTTGAGTTAGTTTAGGACTGGGGTGTTGATCTGTGAGTGCCTTGGGTGGGGCCTGGATGAGGCTGGTTGACCTAGTGGGAAATGTCTTTTGTGTGAAGTGTATCATTGGGCATGTGGAGGTATTATTGATATGAGAAAATGCTAAGTAACTGATTTACTATCTGAAAAGGGATTTACTATTGGGGAAATTGAGGGAAGAAGAGACTGAACATAAACTGCACCTATGGATGAGGACAATGGGGGATGGGGGGGGACGGAGGGTGGGGTGGGAACCTGGTGGAGGGGGGAAGAAATGAGGAACCTTTGTAATAATATGAACAATAAAGATTGATAAAAAAAAAATAAATAAAATAAATAAATAAATAAATAAATAAAAAGAATTAGGGCCCTAACTGGTTTGGCTCAGTGGATAGAGCATCGGCCTATGGACTCAAGGGTCCCAGGTTCAAGATTAAAAAAATATATATATATGAAATTGGAAAAGAGTAATCTATTTTTAATAAGAAAAAACTAAAAAAAGAAGAAAAAAAAGAAAAAACTAGGACTTTAAGATAATCCCAAATCGATAGATTTTCTATTTATGGGATAACATAGCTAAATTTCTTTTTTTTATATTTAAGGTCCCTAGTTGATTCCTGAATTATGTGATAGTTAAGCATTCACTTTTATTATTATTATTTATTTATTTTTATTAGTTTCCAAGAGAGAGAGAAACATCTTGAGAAACATTGAATATTTTGCTTCTCGAAAGCACTGCAACCAGATTAAACCCACAATGTGGGTATGTGCCCTAATGGGGAATCAAACTGGCCACCTTTTGGTGCACTGGACAATGCTCCAACCAACAGCACACCAGCCAGGGCATTGTTCACTTTCTTTTATTAGTCAAATGTTTGTGCATATACTCTGCCTAAAGATATTGTGGAGGGACAATCAAGTATGAAGCTACCGGTAAATATCCTGCATACTTCAAAAACTATTATTTTAGACTAGAGGCCCAATGGATGAAATTCATGCAAGGGGCTTGGCCTTCGCAGTCATGGCAGGCAAGGGAACCCAGAGTAAGGATGTTCATCAATAAATTAGTTAAATAATATATTTGTGCTTAATTTCTAGAACTATCTGGTGTTTGACTTTTAAAATGTTTTTTTTTTTCCTCACATGTGTTAGGGTGGGGGGAAAAAGCCCAAATTAAATGTTGCTGTTCATGCATACTATTTTTTTGGTAAGTTTCTGTTTTTACCTGAATTCTTAGAATTATCCTATATAATGAAAGGCTAATATGCAAATTGACCAAACTGCAGAATGATCAGTATCTATGACGTGCACTGACCACCAGGGATGCAGATGCTCAACGCAGGAGCTGCCCCCTGATGGTCAGTGTGTTCCCACAGGGTGAGTGCCACTCAGCCAGAAGCTGGGCTCACAGCTGGCAAGCACAGTGATGGTGGCAATAGCCTCTCCAGGCTCTGCGGTAATGCTGATGTCTGACTGCCCACAGGGAGTGGGCCTAAGCCATCAGTAGGACATAGCTCAAAGGCTCCTGAACTGTGAGAGGGTGCAGGGCAGGTTGAGGCTTCCCTCTACCCCCTCAACCCCCATGCATGGAATTTGTGCACCAGGCTTCTAGTATTTCATATGAAAGAAAAAACCTACTAATGTTGGATACAAGTATCTGCACCTAATGCAGGCATAATCTCACAGAATTTCTTCCATCGTGGAATACAGAGAACCACAAGGGTCCCAAAATGTGCCTCTGGCCTAGTGGTTGTTGCTAATCATTTATGGCTCCAGAAATAAAATTTGAGTCTATTTCTGGACTCAAAGTAAAAGTTATATGACATGAAGATAAAAGAAATAGGTTACAATTTTAAGATAGAAACTTTGTAATATAGTTAGATAATATTAAGAGAGTTTAGTCAGAAATTTGAATATGATGTAATCTTAGACACCTCATTGCATTCTATGTGTTATAAAATGTTTAATGTTGCCTTATAGATGTTGAATATAGCATGACAGTAAATAAATATATTTATTAAATATATTTTATTGATTTTTTTACAGAGAGGAAGGGAGAGGGAGAGAGAGTTAGAAACGTCGATGAGAGAGAAACATTGACCAGCTGCCTCCTGCACACCCCCTATCGGGGATGTGCCCACAACCAAGGTACATGCCCTTGACCGGAATTGAACCTGGGACCCCTCAGTCCGCAGACCGATGCTCTACCACTCAGCCAAACCGGTTTCGGCAAATTAATATATTAAGAGCAAAGACTTTCATGCCTGAAGGACCTTGGTTCAGTCCTTGGGTTTGCCACTTACTAGCTTTGTGACCTTTGGTAGGTGGTTTAGCCTCTCAAGTCTCATTCCTTGCATTGGTATTGTAAGAATTGAATGAGATAATGCATATAATGTGTTTTGCATAGTACTTGGCATATTACAACTGTTCAATAAGTGTTATTTTGTCCTGGCTGGGAAAGTATCTGTTTTGCTATATAAAATTTAAAAGGAATATTAAAATATATTTTTGTTATTTTAAGGAAATTCGAAATGAGTCCCATGACTATCCTCATAGAGTGGCCAAGTTTCCAGAAAACAGAAATCGAAACAGATACAGAGATGTAAGCCCATGTAAGTACCTCTGGGTTTGTGTGCATATTTATGTTTGTTGATTTGTTTCAGGAGGCAGGATACAGTGAAAAAGGTTTGATCAGGGTTAAGTACAGTAATTTAAAAAATATATATTTTTGATTTTTAGAGAGAGATGAAGGGAAAGGGATAGAGAAAGAATAGAAACATTAATGAAAGACATCAATTGGCTGACTACTGCACACCCCCTACTGGGGATCAAGCCTGCAACCCCAGCATGTGCACTGACCAGAACCTTGCCCTAGCCGGTTTGGCTCAGTGGATAGGCCTTGGTTTGCAGACTGAAAGGTCCCAGGTTCGATTTTGGTCAAGGGCATATGCCCAGGTTACAGACTTGATCCCAGTAGAGGGGCATGCAGGAGGCAGCCGATCAATGATTCTCTTCTATCATTAATGTTTCTATCTTTCTCTCCCTCTCCCTTCCTCTCTGAAATCAATAAAAATATATTTTAAAATCACAAAAAAACAAAACCGGTGACCTCTTAGTCCTGGCTCAACACTGAACCACTGAGCCACACCAGATGGGCAGTAATTCTTTTTTAAAAAAATATATTTTATTGATTTTTTTTACAGAGAGGAAGAGAGATAGATAGAAACATCGATGAGAGAATCATCAATCAGCTTGTTGATAGTTACTTATTTGTTGTTCATAATTTTTATCTTTATTTACTTCTGAAAGAACCCCCGTCAGCAATTCATATAATTCTGGTTTGGTGGTGATGAACTCCTTTAGCTTTTTTTTATTAGTGAAGCTCTTTATCTGACCTTCGATTCTGAGCGATAGCTTTGCTGGATAGATTATCTTTGGCTGTTGGTTCTTACTATTCATCACCTTGAATTTTTCTTGCCATTCCCGTCTGGCCTGCATGGTTTCTGTTGAGAAATCACTGACAATCGTATAGGTGCTCCTTTATAGGTAACTACCTTCTTTGCTCTTGCTGCTTTTAATATTCTCTCTTTGTCTTTTGCTTTTGGGATTTTAATTATGATTTGTCTTGGTGTGGTCCTCTTTGGATTCCTTTTGTTTGGAGTTCTGTGTGCTTCCTGGACTTGTACGTCTAATTCTTTCACCAGGTGGGGGAAGTTTTCTGTCAGTATATTTCTTTCAGTATGTTTTCGATACCTTGCTCTCTCTCATCTTCTGGGACCCCCATAATTCTGATGTTGGTTCGCTTGAAGTTGTCCCAGAGGTTTCTTACATTATCTTCAATTTTCTGGATTCTCTTGCCTTCCTGCTTCTGTGGAGGAGTGTCTTCTGGCTCTTTATGTTCTAAATCTTTGACTTGATTCTTGCGATCTTCCATTCTGTTTTTAAGACTCTGTATAATATTTTTTATTTCAGACATTGTATTCTTTATTTCTTATTCATCTCTTATCATTTCTTGTTGATTCCTTATTAATTCTAGTTGATCTCTTTTCATATCCTCATAGGTCTTATCGATCTTTTCTGGGAAATTCTTGAAAAACCTTATAAGCGTAGATTTGAACTCTATCCAGTCGCTTTTTGTCCTCCATTTCTTTCGTTTGTGATCTATTTCGTTGTCACATTTTCTCAGCTTCCCTGATGGGGCAGGGTTTCAGGGTGGAGCCTACAGCCTTGGCTTCTGTCAGCCCCGCCCTATGCGGCTCCTGCCTCTCAGGGCTCACTGCAAGCACCTCTGAGAGAAAGGTGCCCTCGATTTTCGCCTGCTACCAGTCTAGGCTCTCCCCCAATGAGCCCGGTATTGGGGTTCAGTTCAGTTGGAAGTGGGATTGGAGGTGGCGTTCAGAGCAGTCTGGAGCCTCAGTCTCCTTCCCACCAGGGCAATCCCGCGGCACAGCCGACCGTCCCTTCTCTGCGTGCAATGTGCGCTCCTCCGGGACCTCCTTTTCGCCGCTCCCCCGGGTTCCGCCTTACAGCACAGCTCCCTCTGTGTGAGCCTGAGTCCCCGGGATCTGGCCTAGGCCTGGGGTTCAGAGCAGTCGGAACTGGGGCCCAGGACAGTCGGAGTTTTATCTCCTTCCTGCTAGGGAACGCCAGCCAGGCAGGCACTCAGCTTCCACCTCCTCTCCGGCTTCGTCTTCTCCACGCGCGCCGTGTGTCTCCGTACCTTAGGCTTTTACAGCTCCTCCGCGCTTCCTTCTGGTTTTCTCCTTGCTTCTCGTTGTAGAATTGCCAGTCAGTCGACTTTCCTGTAGTTCTGGGTAATGTCCATTTTATATTTTAGTTGTATTTTTTTGAAATTGTTGTGTGAGGCTGTGGCTAGGTGTTTACCTGGGCAGCCATCTTGGATTCTCCCATATTTCTCTGCTAATAATGTTTCTTAAGTAGTAGCTTATTTTCTATATAAATCATAGCTGGTATGAAGTCACATATGCTGGTAGAGCCAGAGTAGACTCAGAATACACATCTTACTGCCCTTTAGCTTTCCCTCACCCATTTTCTTTCATCTGTACCACAGAATTTCAGATATCTATACTAAAAAGTCTTTCTGATCTCTTTCTCTCTTTTTGCTGAGTTAGTTTACTCTCAAAATCCGTTAATAGTTTCATTTCCTGCTTATGTTTCAGAATGATTTAATAGTGATTTGTCATCCTAACAAAATTCTACCATAGCTTAACATTTGTTATGAAAAACTTCCTGAATTCATTATATAAACAGTGTTTGACACTTACCAACCTGAATTGTTATGATACTGTACTAGGTCCTATGAGAAAATGGAAGTAGAAACCCTTTTTCTCTGATAGTCAAATTTAGGAGGTAAGACTAATGAAATGAGACTAACATCAGTACAGGATTTCTCAACTCTGAACTTAAATTGCAGGCTGCTGCTCTTCCCTTTGTTCACTGGGCTCAAATCACATTCTTTGTATCCCTCAGACACATCAGACATGTACCTACCTTACGGCATTCACTCTTCTGTGTGTTTGTAACTCTCTTAACCAAATATCCATGATTGACCTCCAAGTCTTTGCTTAAATGTCACTGTCTCATGGAGACCCACCCTGACCACCTTTTTTATAATTGCAAGCTGCTCACTTTTCATTCTCACTGCCTCTGCTTGGTTCAGTACTCCACCTCTTGATTAAACTGTTGACTGAAAATTCTGAGTGTTGAAAGTATTAAATGCAAAGAACAGATCATCCTTAATTTGCCTGACCTAACTTACTGCTCAGGGATCCCTTATTTTCTTCTCAGGCCTGAAACCACCCCCTCCTCAGCCTAAAAGGGACCGCCATCTGGGGCCATAGACATGTAGGTTAAGAATGGAGTGAGGAGTGTCTCCTGTCACTCTGCTCCCCAGCTTTAGTTTTATAAATGTAGTAGTAGGATTCCTTGTGGCTTGGTCTCCAAAGCCTTTTTACTTACCTTATGCATTGGCTTTAATTGGGTTCACAACAAATACTCTGCCCCATGCAGGTAGGCCCAAGTAGGACTCTGGAGGTTGTGTTTGCCATTAAAATGGAGAAGTTTCAGAACCAAAGACGACCTTGCATTGCTTATTTTCATATTCCCCTTGGGGCCAGTGGGCTCTGGGCAATTGGACAAGGAAGAGAGAGGGGCTTAGCTCACAAACTTTTCTTTCTTTTTCTTTTTAAAAAAAATATATTTTATTGATTTTTTACAAAGGAAGGGAGAGGGATAGAGAGTTAGAAACATTGATGAGAGAGAATCATCGATCAGCTGCCTCTTGCACACCCCTACTGGAGATGTGCCCGCAACCAAGGTCCTTGACCGGAATCGAACCCGGGACCTTTTAATCCACGGGCTGACGCTCTATCCACTGAGCCAAACTGGTTTCGGCATCTTCCTAGCTTTTCTAAACCAAAGTTCTGCCATACGACCAGCCCAACCTTGCTGCTGTTTTTTTTCTTTCCTATGGATTTTTGTGCTAATTGGGAAGCAGGATTTTCTATGTGGGAGACACTTATTGGTATAAGAGGGAAATTCCTGTTTTTCAGGAAGTCCTCTATTTGGTGTCTTTTCCCTCATTATCTTTTCTCAATCTATGTAAGGGGCTCTGGCCACCATCGTCTCCTGTGATACCAGAGGACTGCCACCCCAGTTCTTTGCCAGGGCTCTAATGTCCCTTCTAGGGACACTGGCATTCTCTAGCATGGCCTGCGGTATGGGTGTGCAGGCGTGGTGTGGAGGTCAGGGGCATGTAGGGAGAACTCATTGTCCTTTGGAGCTAGTTGGCTTAGAGCTTGGAAAGTGCCACTGCTGGCAGGTTTGGAATTTTTCAAATAAATTCTTATTTGGTAGTTTCAAAAAAAGATCAAACCATCACAGGGGGGTTCCACCAAAGAGGTTGTGTAGAGAAAATAGGTCATGGGCTGGATCTTCAAGGAAGTGAGGTTTGTGTGATATAGTTGAAGGTAGAAATCACACCCTAGGTGAAGAACAGGATGAAAGGCAATGCCAAGGAAGAGCTCAGGGGCATGTATAGGATGGCAAAAGAACCAACTTGGATGTATCCAAGAAAGCCATGTAGTGTGGGAAATATGCAGTCTCCAGTGGAACAATTTTCCTTTCATTTCATGGTTATTATTCTTGATCTCTGCCTTGGTGTAACCTGTTGGGGGTAGTTATGATGAATGTCAATCCTCCATTCTATTTGACATGATAGACTTTCTAAAAGATTTCTTCCAAGTAATTATATACTAGGTGAAACTGGATGGGTTTTTTTTTTTTTTTTTTTTTAGTTCTTCTTCTTCTTTTTTTTTTTTTTTTTTTTAACTTACTATGACAGTATTGAAAGAGGAAGCAAATCTGTATTGTCAGCTCAGGCCACAACTAGAGTTTAGTCATTTCTTGATAGGTGAAACCATTTCTCAGAAAACATAACTGTTTAAGGGTGGGAGGTAAAGGAATCTTCAGACATTTGTTTGATTTGTATCCAGCTTATGTGGCACAGTTTTATTGGGCATTGCATTTCTTCATGACTCAGTGACAAGAATTAAGAGCAGATAGTGTCCCCATAGAAAGAAGTATATGTATA